ATTGGTGTTTTGCTGATAGATTTGGGTTTACTTGCCGCAATTCATTATTTGGTAAGAGTTGCCATCCTCGTAACCATAAGTTTTTTGTGTACTCATTGATGCATTTTTTTTATATCTGAGTGAGAAATTTGGTTAGTTCTATTATCAGATTTCTCCATTTTACAAGCTTCTTTGGCCATTTGATAAGCTGTCTCATTTCCTGGTATCCCCACAAGAGATGGTATCCACACAATATGTAGTTGGTTATGATTATTTTGTAGAGTCATAAGGTCTTTTTTAATCTGTTCTAAAATCGGATGATTCAAACATATTTTCTGAATTCCTTTTCATTCGTACGAAAAATTTGTCGCCTAAAATAAAGAAGACTCTCTATTAAAAATGTTTGCAAGTACGTTTTCCTAATAAATCAGTATTGGTGTATCCTAAAATGTTCTCTTAAACATTGTACAAAGATCTCTAATTTCAATAAAGACATGGGGATTTTTAATACGTCAAGCTTATTTGTTCCGGCATTTTCTCTGTAACGTATCTCAGCATTTTTCCACTTATTGTGATAATTTCGTTTTTGTTTTATCGTACCAGTTATATATTGTTTATTTAAATATATTGGATTTTCCATTCATAAATATTATGTTCGCTATGATTCAATGTTTGCTATAAATTAATTTAAAACCGGAGTTGATTTTAATAAGAATACATAACCTTGAATGCAAGCTGAAAATAAGCGATAGATAACAAAATAAATAAATACTAATATATATATATATATATATAATATATATATATATATATCTTTTACTTTCATATATATATATATATATATTATATATATATATATATATATATATGAAAGTAAAAGATATAAACATAAAAGATTACATTTCATTTCAATGGAACTCCACAATTGCTCTACACGAGTTTCGAGTTATTCAACTCATCATCGGGAAACTTGTGGAAGTTCAACTGAAATGAAATGGAGTCTAGCATTTGGTCATTATAACCAAAATAACAGCCAGGTGCGCTAGCAGCGACATCTATACGAAGTAACAAGAAATCGAGAGACCTCTCTCTGATAGCAAATTAGGTGAACCGCAAATTCAAATTCAAATTTCATTTTTCAAAGCCTACTATTTTACCTTTGTAACTGACACAAATGGCCTTTTACTTTTTAATAACTGCGCGTCACAATCGGCAATTAGGAATGTTTTATTAAAAATTCCTAGCTTAGAATACTGTTGATATAACAATCTAAAAATTGTTACAACAATAAATAAAAATAATCTTGTTATATTGTTATACAAAACATATTATCTTGTAGGAATTTTAGTAATATTGTATTTTATTAAGGAAATATGATATTTTGATAATATCACATTTAATAAAATCACTTTATATTTTTGATTTATCACATAAAGCAAACATAAAGATCCAAGATATTGATCTTCGTTAAATTTTTTGTTATCATATATAACCTACTACGTATCAGCGAACGAAGGATTCTGGGATCTGAGACCTACCTGGTGATATCTTTGAAAATGACACATGGTGGAAGAAAGCTGTAACTAACAAACTTATAACCAATGCAAACAAAAATATGTAGTGAATAAAAAGTTATATTTTTCTTAAAAATAGATATACCGAGGTGTTTAGTAGATCTAGTAAATCACAAGCAGAACTAACCTACTAGAACAACGGTTACTCCAGGTGAATATGGAAAAATAGTGAAGATAAGAATAGTGGGAAAATTGGTACAACAACCTGGCAATGAGGGCGAGGAGGACATAGAGAAAATATTTATTTTGGGGTGGACTTACTGGTAGAGAACCCCAAAATAGATGAAACTTTGCAATCAATTAACAAATTGAAGAACGGAAAAGCTCCAGCTCTGACAATATACTGGCTGAATTCCTTAAGTACGAAAGAGAAAATCTACATAGACAAATACTCAAACTAATAACACTTATATAGAACGAAGAGAAAATACCAACAAAATGGCACGAAAGTGTAATAATCCCCATCCATAAAAAAGGAGACAAAACCAAGTGCTCTAAAATTATAGAAGCATCTCCCTACTTAATACGACATATAAAATCTTATCGAACATCCTATTAAGTAGGCTGACACCATTTGTAGAAAATTTCATGGGGGAATACCAAGCCGGCTTCAGAAAACATAGATCGACCATAGATCAGATCTTTACTCTAAGACAGCTGCTTGAAAAAGGATGGGAATTCAATAGAACTATCCATAATCTCTTCGTAGATTTCCGGCAAGCGTACGACAACATTAAAAGGGATCAAATGTGGAATCCAATGGCAGAGATTCCAGTTCCAAAAAAACTTATCCAGCTTTTTAAGTTATGTGTGAATAGCTGTAGATCCAGAGTACGGATAGATATCAAACTCTTCGAATCTTTCCAAATAAATAGTGGCCTGAAACAAGGAGATGTGCTGTCACCTCTCCTTTTTAATATCATCCTGGAGAAAGTAGTAAGAGCAGCATAACTTAAAACAGAATTACTGACAGTAAATGGACCAAAATTACTACTAGCATACGTAGATAACATTGACGTTGTGGAAAACACAGTCACTAATGTAAAGGAGACTTTTAATAAATTGGAGGTAGAGGCAAAGAAAACTGATTTATGGTTAAACGAAAAAAAAAAAACAAATACATGTGCATCAACAGACAAAAGGGGCGAGATAGAATAGGGCAAAATGTTACAATAGACCCAGATAACTTTGAAAGAGTGGAGAGTTTTTAATATCTCGGAGCAACAATCACTGCAGATAACAATATCGCGGAAGAGATTAAAGGAATAATTCAGGCAGCAAACAGATATATGTACAGCCTCCACAATACCATTAAATCTACAAGCCTAACACGAACATCAAAAACTAGAATATATAAAACGGTGATTAAAGAAACTGAAAGAAAACTTAGATGTTTTGAGAGAAAATCCTCAGAAGAATCTTTGGGCCTTATCACGACATTCTTCTTCTTCAGGTGCCATCTACGCTACGGAGGTTGGCAATCATCATAGCTATCTTAATTTTTGAGGCAGTAGCTCTAAATAGTTGTTTTGAGCTGCATCCAAACCATTCTCTCAGGTTCTTCAGCCATGAAATTCGTCTTCTTCCGATGCTTCTTCTGCCATCTATTTTTCCTTGCATTATGAGTCGCAGGATGCCATACTTATCGCCCCGCATCACATGTCCGAGATACTGTAGCTTTCTTTCTTTAATTGTAAGTTCAATTTCCTTCTCTTTGCCTATTCTTCTCAGTATTTCATTGTTTGTAACTCTATCTACCCAGGAAACCCTCATAATTCTTCTATAGGTCCACATCTCAAAGGCGTTAAGTCGTCTCATGGTATCTAGATTTAACGTCCATGATTCCACTCCATAATATAGTACACTGTATACGTAACATTTTGTTAGGCGTACTTTAAGAGCTAATGTTAGATCTTTGCCACATAGGACCTTTTTCATTTTTATAAAATTAGAACGTGCTTTTTCGATTCTGACTTTGATTTCTGCCGTGTAGTCATTATTTTCTGTTATAAGTGTTCCTAGGTAAGTGTACTTTTTTACTCTTTCGATCTGCTGGCCCTCTACTATCAAGATTTCGTTAGTATTATAGTTGTTTTTACAAATTTTCATAAACATCGTCTTTTTGACATTAAGAGAGAGTCCGTACTCCCTACTACACATGACTATTTTGTTCATGAGTCTTTCCAGGTCTTGTAAACTATCGGCTATTATTACTGTATCATCTGCATATCTGATGTTGTTAATTAAGACTCCATTTACTCTTATGCCGACTGTTTCATCTTCTAGAGTTTCTCGAATTACCTCTTCAGAATAGGCGTTAAATAATAGAGGTGATAGAATGCAGCCTTGCATGACTCCTCTCTTTATTTCCATTTCTTCAGATGTTTCTTTTTCGATTCTTACTATTGCTCGCTGATTGTAATAGAGGTGTGTTATTAGCCTTAAATCTCTTTCATCTAGGTTTTTATTTTTTAGAATTTCCAGGAGTCGATCATGGTTTACTTTATCAAACGCTTTATTGTAGTCTATAAAACAGACGTAAAGAGGACGGTTAACATCCAAACATCTCTGTGTCAGCACATTGAAGGAGAATAATGCCTCTCTGGTACCCATACCATTGCGGAACCCATATTGAGTGTCACTAATATCCAGCTCCAGTTTAGAGTGTATTCTGGCGTGGATAATTTTCAAGAGAATTTTCAAGGTATGTGACATTAAGCTTATGGTTCGATAGTCACTACACTCTTTGGCATTCATCTTCTTTGGCATTCATCACGACATTAATAGCAACCAATACCGAATAAGAACAAATGCTGAGATCAAGCAGATGTCTGCTTGATCAGAGCGCGCAGAGCAGAGCGAGCATGATAGTTCAAGAGATTAAATCCCAACATCTAAGATGGCTGGCCATGTACATAGACTCCCTAATAACCGCCTTGCCAAGTTAATATGGGAGAAAGCTTCCTCAGGAAGAAGGCCCTTAGGATATCCACGAATGCGATGGAGAGGCAATATATGGTCAGACCTAATAACAATGGGGTTATCCACTGACCCAACTACTATGGACCCAAGCCAAGACTTACCCCGGTTGTAGTGCTACGAGATAAAGAAGAAGAATCTGGCAACGGATCCTCGATGGAATAATTTGCTCTTTTACCCTTCCCATACCAGTTTTTATGTAGCAGTTAAATTTAAAAACATTTTATTGTATACTTTTCTTGCGTTTGGCATAAGATTTAATTTATATCTTAATTATTATCACCTAAAGACTGATTGTGAAAAAAATTATTTATTTTTACCCATTTGAACCAAATCCTGCAAGCATTGGTTCATTTAGATAATTTAAAACTACAACTCAACTTTCCTACTTATGCACTGCTTTAAATTTATCTTCAAATATTTATGAAAAATGATTGTTACAAAATTAAACGTGTTTTTTTTATTTTCAGAAAACAGACCAAGATGAAGGTGACCATCATTTTAGCACTCGCTATATCTACAACACTAGCTGCACCATCAGAGGTCCAAACTCCACTTCAACAATTGGCAACTGGAAATCAACAATTAACGTCAAACGTGTACAAAGAAATCCTTAAAACTAAGAATGGAAGTATTATCTTCAGCCCTTTTTCTGCTGAAACCGTATTAGCTTTGACCTCTGAAGGAGCGAAAGGTGACACTAGGAGCGAGCTAGTATCTGCATTGCATCTTCCAGAATCACAAGAGACTATTCAACAAGGATTTAAAGAACTTTTACCACAACTTCAAATCAAAAATAAGGATGCAGTATTAGCCTCAGCTAATAAAATATATATAGCTAATGGTATCAAGTTAGAAGATGATTTTAAAAAGACCGCTGAAAGTGTTTACGCATCAGGACTTGAACAAGTAGATTTCTCAAACAGTGCAAAGGCCGCTAACATAATTAATCAATGGGTGGAAAACCAAACAAACAAAAAAATTAAAGATCTCATTAAACCTGAGTACCTCAACAGTGACACTGTGATGACTTTAATCAATGCATTATATCTAAGCGCTGAATGGTCTACTGTTTTCCAAGATTATAACACTGTAACAGATAAATTCTACAGAACAGCTTCCGAACAAATAGATCAAGCAACAATGGCAATGACCGAAGTATTTAGACATTATGAAAATAAAGAACTCGACACTCAATTTTTGGAAATTCCATTCAAAACTAATGGTCTAGTTTTTAGTGTTGCTTTACCTAACAAAAAAGATGGTCTTGCTGCTTTAGAAAATAACATTGAAAAAGTATTCGAACCACAGCCATATACTACTGTACCTGTACATTTGAGACTACCAAAGTTTACTGTTGAAACCGACTTGAATTTGAAAGATATTCTTCAATCGTTGGGCGTTAAAAAGATCTTCAACTTTGGCGCTGATCTTACTGGATTGGCAAAGAACGCCAAAGATTTACGTGTTTCGGAGGTAATTCAAAAAGCTTTCATTAAAGTTGCTGAAGATGGAGTCGAAGCAGCTGCTTCCACTGCTGTTTTGGTGGAGACTAGGTCGGGACGTTTCTTTATCCAAACCCCAATAAAGTTTTTCGCCGATCATCCTTTCGTATACTTTATTAAATATAATAATGTTATATTGTTTGCTGGAAAATACAGTCCCTAGGAAGCTCATGACGATAATAATTATTGAATGAATTTTATGTATACATAGTTCCTATAATTAACTTATAAATGTCATAATTATGTGTTCTGTATGTTATAAATATATATATTGACTTAATAAATATAATAAGCTTATACTTTGTCTTTTACATGCTTATTTATTTTCCCTTTTACAATGTTATATAGAAATTTATTAAATTATAGAAATAAATATATCATGGAAAGTATTACGAAAAACTGGAACTATTGCTATAGGAAGAAATGAAAATGAATTCGATGTATTCCCAAGACTAGTCGCTAACAAGCCACATCAAGTCGTGTGTCCACAGTATATCATTAGTATTTCAATAAAGATCTTTAAAATTAAACATAATAAATATGTTAATAATAATACCATAGAACTCAATCCTTTTGATACCGTAGGTATCTGGGATGAGTGAATTTTCCCCTTAGAGGGAGTGTGAGCCGTAGGGCTAAATCTGGTACCACAAAACAAAGAAACAATGTCGATACGATCTCCAGATTTCCAGATAGTCTATGTATATAAATTAAATATGGTCTATATTTGTGTCTACGATTTGAATAGTAATTTGTTAATATGGATCCCTGTTAAATGTCTTTGATTTTCTCATATTGATAGGTAATCTTAACATTCTTCTCTAAATTTTCTGCTATCAATACTATTGTGTGTATAATTTATAATAAGCATATAATAAGTTATAATTACCTATTTTGATTCTTATTTTGGTTCATCAAGTGGCTCGATAATCCGTTGGGGATCTTGGCCTGCTCACAAAGAAGTCGCTACTCCTATCGATTCCTGGCAACTTCCCTCCATCTTCTGACCCTTAGATTCTGTAGGTCTTCTTCCACATCATTAATCCATGTCCTTCGTGGTCGTCCTCTACTTCTTGTGCCCTCTGATTTGGAAAATGTTAGTTTCTTATTTTCGTATTTTCGTGATCTTGCATCCAGCAATGTGTCCATCCCATCTTAGTCTGCACTATAACGAATTTCACAATATCTAAATCGGTGTATAATTAATTAGTTCAAAGTTGTATTGTATACCACCTGGATATTCTTTGTCATTCTTATCTTCTGTATGGTCTAAAAAATCCGTAAAAACAGGGCATCCTTCTTCACGGTTTTCTTCTGTATAATCCTAATGTTTTATAAAAACAGGACGATCGTTATTATGAAGATGATATGCTCGGCATTTTAGGCATTTTTGGTAATTTCACCATGTCTCGCATCCTGAACACAGTTTGCAATTATCGTGGCTAGCTTCATCTGTATTGCTATAACGATCTTGCTCAGTAGGAGTTCTTCGACATTCGTGGCGATGATATTAAGTTTCTAGATGGCAATTGCACGGTGGACCACGCTTTGCAGGAGAATGGTTCCTTCTACGCGGAGAATTGATTGGGGCATAATAAGGAATATCGCTGGTGTAAACCGTAAACAGCAGAGGTCCAAAAACAGAACCCTGAGGCACTCCACTTTCCACTAACCTCTTCTGTGAAAAAGATTCGCCAACTCTAACTTTGTAATAGCGATCTGGCAGGAAATCATCTATCCAACGAAGTAAAGTACCGCAAACGCCGAAATGTTCTAGCTTATGTAGAAGTCTGCGCTTAGGTACACGGTCAAAGGCTTTAGAAAAATCTAGATAAACAACGTCGAGCCGGCTGCGAACTGTTAAGGGATGACGTCCAGTCGTTAACACAATGTAGGAGATTGGTTAGAGTAGAGCGACCAGAGACAAATCCATATTATTGTGTTGGAATAACATGTTCCTGGAGAAGGAATTTGGTCATCTCCTCGGAAATAATGGCTTCCATAACTTTGGCAACTACTGGCAGCAAGCTAATGTGACGATAATTGTTGGGGTCAAGTTTGTTGCCTTTTTTAAAAAAAGGGGTAACGGAAGCTAATTTCCAACTGGAGGTAAGGAGTTCTGGATGAAAGAAGTTTGCATAATTAACGTTAAGGGTATTGCAAGCGTGTCTGCGCACCTTTTTAACAGTTTTGGTGTTAAACCATCTAAACCAGGTGAAGCGGCCGTGCAAAGTTTAATTAAGTGTTGTTTGACATGATCCACTGTGAATTCAACTTGCTGTAAGGATGCGCCGACACGATTACAGTTAATAGCAGGTAAATAACCATCATTTGATTCTTTAGTAAAAACCTGTGAAAACTCTTACGGAAAATAGTATTTGTAGAAATTGTATTGTGGACTTTATTAAGAAATGCAGTCCACATTAATGAGGGGTCGTTTAAGTCTGCAAAAAATATATGCCAGTCGATTTGAGAGAGTTCAGTGTCAACTTCTGAAAAGTCGGTAGTAGCATAAGTTACAATGTTATTTTTGCGGGGTAATATTTGATTGAACTGGATGTTAGCCGTTATAACTGCACGAAATTAAAATCTCCAGTAATGATAAAATTATCAAGAGATGAAAGTTCTTCAAGTTTTGTGAAGAAAAATATACATACGATAAGTGGACGACATATACATACTAAATTAAAGCAAAAAGAATTTTTAGTAACAGATAAGTGAATTGCATCTATTCCAGTAATATCTATTAGCTTAATGCTAATTTTGAAAGTTGTGGTAATAATATTGGATAAATAAATGCATATACACCGCCACCCACACGATTTTCTCTGTCTTTACGATATATTGTATATCCATTTATATTAACAGAGGAGTCAGGAATTGTGGGTTTAAGCCAGGATTCGGCAATACAAATAATGTCCGGTTTAAGAAGTTGCACTGTGCATACCAATTCGTCAAACTTAGCGGAAAGTGAATCTAAATTAGTATATAGAAATAGCCAGTCAATAAATTTGTTGGTAGAAAAATTACAAACGAAATTTCGTGATTCTGGGACTGCCATTGATGTATTTAATAGTTAAATCATGTTCACCGTTATTTTTGCGAAATTCTAGCTCACTTCGGAGTTCTTTTAAACGTACTTGTTGGATGGGCGTCTTGTCGTCAATTATTGAAAATTTTTCCGTGGCTTTGTTTTCCAGAAGTTTGGCTTTATTTCTCAGAATATCTTTAACGTGGTATTCAGAACCCATTACTACCTTTATCATTTGGGGAAATCGTTGGTTTGCTTTGCCGACTCTGTAGAAGGTGATTTGCTTTTCCTGGCAGCCAACAGTATCCAAAACAAGCTTAACCTTATTGGCGTCGTCATCTTTTCTGCGTTGTACATCCCCAGAGGAAGATTCTGTTACGCCTCTAATTAGAATATTTTTTGCGCGTGTTATACGATCTACAGCTTCGTTAGCGATATTATCCGTGAATTCGGTAGACTTAAATAAATCAATCTGGCTGAGCGTATCGTTTAACTCAGTTATTTTATTATCAAAATCATCAATTTTTGCACGAAATTTCATTTTAAAATCTAACAGAAGATCTTTTATTTCTGAAATATTAGAAATATTGGAGCTGCAAGAGTTACACAGTATGCACAGTCCTCGAATTTTCTGTCGGGTGACGCGATCCTCCGAAGAAAGGTCGGTGCATGTGATATGTATTTGCCGCTTACATCCGTCGCACTGGAGTTTGCTGTCAGCTGTCGCTATGGTTTTCGAGCAGTAGAATCATGTCATCATTGTTTTTGAAATGTAAGAAACGTTTTATTTCTTCGAATCTGTTACAGCTCATCACATCGCTAACTGTTCGATGGCCAATATTGGCATTCCAATAGTGTCTTGTTGTTGGAGGTTAAATTATCGACATGTAAATAGTAATTCCTATAAAGTATTCTATTCCATATTTTTTTATATTAGCTGGTTTATCTGGACTTTGTTGCACTGAGTATAAATTTGATTGGTCTGTGATATGCTCTATAAGACTTTTAAGAAAGAGAAACTTAAAAAATTAGACCAGAGTTTCTAATTGTAAAATCGAAAAAGGTAAATTTTCAGAACCAGTAAATTTTGTATTATTTTCTGATTTTCTCAGATTTTCTTTCACCCAATTATAAGAATTCTTCCTTTTATATCGTAGTCTTTCAGACAAAGAGGTATCATCATCTGAGGAATCTGAGGATCTGGCAGAAATAACAGTATCTTTGACTATGCTTGGTAAATTTGCACGCTCCCCATTGTCACTATCTTGACACTCACTCTTAGTGTTATTTGAAATTCTAACTGCATTCATTTTACCATAAAAGAGTTTCGGATCCATATCTACAAAAACAATCAATGAGTCCATAACTTCATAGTGGGCCATATATAGCACAAACCCTTTTTGTGGTTTTCGAGAGACTTCAACATTCTTAATTTTTAGTACTAACATAAGCAAATATCACAATAAAATAAATTTCATTTTTTTCTCGCCGTCAAAAACGTTTTTACTATGGGCAATAACTTCGGGCAATGTTTCTCGTGGTTGAGAATTTCAACAAGAATGAACTTACTGCACTTTACTATACTCTCGGTACTTGTCAGATATGGGCTACGGCAAAAATTGAGTTAAAACAGTAAAAAAATTTTGTTTGGTATGTGCCATTTATGGAACATGATACGGTAAAGGGTTAAATATATAACATAACAAAAATTTTAATCCCTATAATGAATTTAGAATTCTTAAAAGCAATTTTAATAAACCTGTTTTTATTTTGTAATTTTCAATTGCGAAATCTTTTACTTTTACTTAAAAATAATTAAACATTTTTTTTCTAGGAAGTTAAAGTTCCTTATATTACCATTTTTGGTAATATTAAACTTAAGATCAGCGTTTTCCGCACCAGGAGATGTAAGTTTTATTGTATCGACAACTGAACAACCAAAAGAAGGCAAGGAAGGAGAGGTATGTAGCATTAATGCTTGTAGTGATCGTAATAACTTACCTATATATATATATATATATATATATATATATATATATATATATATATATATTTTTTTTAAGCTGAACCTCTATACTGGCGTTGTATTACTTTTTTCTCTAAAGTAAAACGCTTAGGCAAGCGTTATAGAGCTAGCGCCACGAGAAGGCGCCACGGGTAGCGTCACGAAATAGTGGTTTTTCACATCGATTCTCTACTCTCAATCAATTCGTTTCTAGTCATCATAATATATTTATTCTATGCAGGTTTAAATTAAAAACTGCTTGAATAATAACTAAGAATACACAGATATTAAATGAGAAGTAAAAAAAAAATAAAAGCATATCAGTCAATAAAAGATTCGACCTTGATGTTCTTATAACTTAAATCACTAAAGAAGTCCACTTTTCTTCGAACACTTTAATGTTAAATTATTATATTTACAAATATATCACATACAGTTAAACGATAAAATAACAACAGAACTACTAGAAGCAGGCCTGAAGATTGCTAATAAACAAAAGCGAAAACAACAAAAAATTAGTGCTAAATCACAAGATATGCTAAAAAAACGACGACAACTACTGAATGATAACAAAAGAAATACAGTGGAGTTTACCGAACTGAACAAAACCATAAGAAAACAGATAAAGGAAGATTTAAAGAAATACCAAGAAGACCGCATTAAGAAAATCATAGAGAAGAACAAAAGTTTAAAAACAATGAAAAAAAATATAGGAAAAAAAACTAATCATGCTTAAAGCTGAGAACAATGAAGAAAGAGATCTAGGAGAAATAGAAAAAATCACAGAAAGATATTACACAGACTAATACAGTTCTAAAAATGACCCACCACTATCATCTAAACAGAATCTCTCGAGGAAAATACAAAATGTTGGCTCAGAGGTATTACCAGAAATAACTGAAGATGAAATCGAAAAATCCATAAACGCCATGAAAAGAAATAAAGCGGCCGGTGAGGACAAAATACTGGCGGGACTGCTAAAAGAAGGAGGAGACACGATAAAAAAATGCTAAAAATACTGTTCAACAAATGTCTGTTTGAAGGTAAAATACCTAAACAATGGAGAAATGCCAACACAATCTTAATACATAAGAAAGGAGACCAAACAGACCTAAGCAACTACCGTCCTATTTTCCTTTTTGTCACAACTATATAAAACCTTCACAAGAATAATAAACAACCGACTAACCTATAAACTTGATAACTACCAACCAGTGGAACAGGCCGGATTCAGGAAAGGATACAGCACAATCGACCATTTACATGCGCTTAAAATCTTAATTGAGAAAACCAATGAATACAACCTTCCGCTGTACTTAGCATTCGTAGATTATGAAAAGGCTTTCGACAGCATTGAACACTGGGCGGTTGAAGAAGCTCTGGTCAATAGTAGAATAGATTCAAGATACCGACAATTGATACATGATATTCACCCAAAACGCAACCATGACCGTATTTCTGGACGACAAATTAATAATGGATAATATAAAAGTTAAACGAGGAGTCCGACAAGGCGATATAATTTCACCTAAACTGTTTACCTTGACCCTCGAAGACATCATAAAATCAACAGACTGGGAAAACAGAAGGATACGTATTAACGGAAAATACCTAAATCACCTTAGATATGCAGATGATATACTCCTGATCTCTTCGGAACGACAAGAACTGGAATTAATGCTGAATGAATTTCATGAAAAATCGCTGCAAAAAGGCCTAAAAATTAACTTCAACAAAACAAAAGTAATGACAAACACGGAAGACCAAGAGGCAATAAAAAACAGCAAAAAATAGAACAGGTAAGTGAGTATATCTATCTAGGACAAGCAATCAGAGCTAACAGAGAAAATCAAACAGCCGAAATATCGAGACGAGTAAGAATGGGACGGGCAGCGTTCGGAAAACTTTCTTACGTTCTAAAAAATCAAACAATCCCTCTATAATTACGAAGCAAGGTATATAACTCCTGTATAATACCGGTGCTCACCTACGGAGCACAGATATGGACATTTACACAGGCCAATTTGGATAGGATAAGGAAGGCACAAAGAGCGATAGAGAAACAAATGTTGGGTGTATCACTTAGAGATAGAAAACGTGACCAGTGGATGAGAAACCAAAATAAAGACAGTAGACGCGATAGAACAAGCCGCAAAATTGAAATGGAAATGGGCTGGACACAATGAACGTCTCCAAGACGGACGATGGAACAATGCCATCGGAAAGTAGCGTCCATACAATGCAACGAGATCAAGAGGCAGATCATGAGGTGGAAAGATGACATCAGGAAACAAGGAGGTCCCACATGGCAGAGAACAGCTCAAGATTGGGTAAAAAATGGAGAGTACTGAGGGAGACATATATCCAACAATGGAATGATAGAGAATAGGTTAAAAAAAATCATATACAGCAGTTCTAATTCTAGAAATAAGAAAAGAAATTTGAGATAGATGACTTTAATGCACATATATATTTAAACACATCAGTAAAAAACATTTATTGACACGGAACGGATTTTGGAACGTCTATGTCGTTCTTATCGCGCCATTTAACATCGTGATCATCGTGTGATGCTTTAAAGTTCGGCCTAATAGTTTCAATTTTACTGTCGCACAAAAGTAATCGTGAGGCATTTGCAGGAAAACTTTGACTGAACCATTTAATCGTAAAATTGACTGGAAGATTGAGAAATTGCCCTCCATCATCCAAAACCAAGTCATCAAACATGTTATCTACGGACTTGGAGTCTTCCCATTTTTCATACCATTGACGTGTGTTTTAATTTCTTTTGGAGTTTTCTCGCGGTAGGAAATATATTTTTCGTAGCCAATATCCTGGAAGGCAATATAACTTTAAACTCTATAGACTTTTTGGAGATGCAGATTGAACACCATCAACTGTCAGTGAACAATCACATCAGTGATTGTGAACACCATCAAAATAAACCGCCTAAGGTGAGTGGCCACGTTATGCGGATGGATGAGAGTGGTCCCACTAAAATACCTATGCTAAACAGGCCGGTCGGAAGAAGAAGAAGGGGCGACCTAAACTCAGATATCTGGACGATGCACAGGAAGATTTGAGGGAGATTGGAGTGAGGGGCTGGAGAAGACAGACACTCGATAGGGAAGGATGGAAGAATGTTTTGAAGCAGGCCAAGGCTCACGAAGGGCTGTAGCGCCAACTGATGATGAATATCCTGGAATTTTGCTCGATCTTTTCCAGCATTTGTTTATAATATTCGACCTATAATATACATAGAATTTCCCTATCTGTTTTACTGCTCTAACTGTTTTTGAGGCTTCTTTACTTCTTGCGGTAACCATAAAATTTTCTATGTTGGCGCAGGCTTTATTCTACATCCCATTGTTGCCTTTATTTACCCCTTTTTTACTTCTTTGTTTAAAGTATTATACTGTTGCCAATTGTAAAGGTCCTTTGTTGCTTCCACTGCAGCAACTGCAGAAGTTTTACTTCTCCATTAGCTTCCATTGCAGCGTCGCGTCGTCAAGAGTTTATCATAATTTCGTTGTACGTATTAATTGGTGAGGAGTAACAAACATTGTGTAATTTTTAATCTTACCTTATTCGATACAGCAACTGGATAGACTCACTTTCAAAACATTGTAAATTATATTTCTTTTTTTTAGGGGTTAAATATTGTAAAATAACTTAAACATGTAAGCTGGTTAGTTCATCTTCTCATTACTTAATCTTCGAATGTTAATTCATGTGGCAGATTCAAATATGTATTTTTGTTGAATAGGTTTAAGATCTGGCTCCAGGATTTTAATTGTTAAGACGAAATTATCATAGTACAAAGTACATAGTAAACTTTTTTACAAAAAAAATTAATGATTTGTTAAAGTTTTAATTATTATCTGTTTCGTTAGCTTTAGTGTTGTATTGGAAAAACTTTTTAATTTTCTAGTTTTTAAATGTCGATATTTTAGTAGGTAAATGTAATTTGTAAACACTGGGAGTAAAACTAAATACAATATTGAATTGAAATTATTTAATTTTTATTATTTTAGCTCACAGAACTTGAAGATGCTAATCTAGTTCCTGTCATTTATGAAATGGATGTACTTTCCAATGTAACGAATCGTTACGCTAAGACTGTGATAACAAATAGGGTTAAAAATCCAGCTAAGTCAGCCAAGCAAACGACCTTTTCAGTCGTTTTACCTGAAAAAGCATTTATATCAGAATTTGTAATGGAAATTGGCTGGAACAAATACAAAGCTTACGTCAGGGAAAAGGAGGAGGCTAAGAAAATATATACCAAGGTAAGTACATCAAGAGTATATACACACTTTTTAAAACGTAATTTTATATGATTTCTTTCTACATTTTTTCAGCTAGCAAATTGGGGTTTTTCTTGTATAAGTAGATTCTTGCAAAACTACTGTAATAAATTGGTTTCTGCTTCCTTAACTTACTATGCTTCAGGTTGTACATTATTGTCTCACTCGACCGATTATTTATTAATCTTATTTACGTTTCCCAATACAGGTTTTAAAATAATAAACTCAGATATTTTTAATTTGTTTCCAGTTTATTATTTGTTTTGGTGCTGGTCTTTTGAGTAAATCCATTTCTATTGCCAATAATTTGCCTTCCTTAGATAATAAAGCCCTTGGAGAAAAAGAACATATAAGAAATAAACAGCACTATTATGAAATAAATGAACCAACAAAAAGAATAATTGAAGAAAAAATGCAACTATACAGAAAATGGCTGACTACAAACAACGATGAAGTTTATAAAGAATATAGAGAAAAAGATAGAGAAGTGAAAAGACAAATAACACAACGAAAGAATGGAGGATGAGAAAGAACATGCTTAAATATTGAAACATACATAGAAGGTACAAGAACTTCGGAGTCACGGAAAGTACTGAGAGGATTAAAACAAAACTCAAAAGAAAAAATTAAATTGAGAAATATACAGGAGAAAGAATTGAAGGACTATTACAAGGAACTGTTAACAGAACAAAGACCACAATTCATTTGAAAAAAAAAAACAGGCAAAGGCGAAGCAGATCCCCACAACAAGAGATAGAAATAACATATAGGGAAATGAGAACGGCTATAAAAGCAATCAAAAATAAAAAAGCACCGGGATCTGGAGGCATGTTAACTAAGCTTATAAAATACGGCTCACATATATCCTTTTTTTTTTAATATTCTTTAATATATGTTTTTTTTATTTAATTGTATTTAATACTCTCCTTCAATGGTTTAATATACTGTTAATCGCTCTTGTCTAAATTTCACTACCAATCAACTAAAAGAATTTGTTAATGTTCATGTTTTTTCATCATTTTTTTTTACTTTTAGGCAGTAGAAAGTGGCCAAAGCGCAGCTCATGTAGCGATAAGTACCAGAGATTCTAACACCTTTACAGTTTCCGTTAACGTTGGAGCTGAAGAAAAGGCAACATTCTATTTGACATATGAAGAACTTTTGGAAAGAAAAAATAACCAATACGAATTAGTTCTTAACATTCGTCCTGGACAAGTAGTTGACCATCTTAATGTTCAAGTAAGTATATTAACTTCTTTAATAACGACTTTCCACTTAAAGCTGAACAATAAACACAATATTAAAAATAAAAACATTTGTGCCAGAAGAATTCGTGCTAAATGGTGCGGATTTTAAACAAATAGAACACAAAAAGTATACTTATCATATACATAAACAACACATCTGTGATATTTTCACATCACGAGTTAAAAACTATTAAAGTTGCATGTTTTGCTGTTGATAATATATTTAGAACTATTATGTTGAACAACAAAAATAATACGCTTTTATTACTAGGTATACATCAACGAATCCAGACCCTTGGTTTTTGTGAAAACTCCATCTCTAAGATCTGGCAACGAGATCGCTAAAAACAACGATAAACTCGACCCTGCATCTTTCATAGAAGTCATTAACTCAACCAGTGCTCTGGTTAAGTTCCAACCAGACGTTGTAAAACAACAGGAATATGCTAAAGAATTAGGAGGAATAGAATTGAATGGCCTTTCAGCACAATTTGTAGTTCAATACGAAGTTGAAAGAGACCCACAAGGTGGAGAGGTTTGTAATATAAATAACAAATAAACATAATTGTATATATAATCAAATGTTTTTGATTATTTAATTCACACGGGATTCATTATTTAAGTATGAATTTACCTTAGAAGGCAAAAATAATATTATTTCTTTTACTTTTTAATTACATCGAAGTATGTGATACGGTGATAAAAAATTTTGATATTTCATTTTGAATTGTTAGTTTCGTTGAGGCAATAAAGCTCTTCAATTAAGAAACTTAATTTTTTTCTAGTTTTTGGTTAAGTCTCTATCATTTAAATATTTTTGTTTGTATTAACATCTAAAAAGTTTTTCAATATATTGCATTAAAAACTATAAGACAACTTGTTTGTCTTTACAATGGTAGGTCTAGTGATCAAAGCATCACAACCTAATAACATTATATTGGCTTGTTTACTAGTCAGATATGCACATACGACACAGATATGCGAGCAAGAAAACAACTATCGCCACAAAATACAATGGATGACTCTATTGGGGGTTTAGGTATGTCCAAGGGATAATATCGCTTCAATGTCTTCAGTTGTTGGTTGTTGAGAAGGTTGAATGGCAGAGTTTTAAGATGAGCATGCAGCTAATTTTAACATTGTTTAAAAATTTGTTGGACTTATCAGAGTTTTGGAGAGTTTTAGTACCTGCAGATCTATGCAAGACATCATTATTGACATAACAATGGGTATTAGCAATTTTTCTTAGAACTTTAGATTACGATCTTTGCATTTTCATAACAGATTTGCTAGCTAATCTCCTGAGCTGCGAACCATATGACCAAATGAGTTTTATTATTATTTTGTATATCAACAGCGTGTTGTCGATCGATAGGTGTGAGATTTTTTGCAGCATCCAGTACAGGATACAATACTTAATTGTAATATTTTCGTCGATATATGTTTGGCCAATGTTAATCGTTTGTCTAGGTGAATCACTAGATATATTCCATCAATATTTTGGAGATAAAAATTGTCACCAAAATTAAATTGTGAATGTGTACATCCTTCTTAGATTGAAATGTTATATGTGTAGACTGTTAGAGGTTCACATTAATTGTCTAGAGCGCAAACCAATTATTAGTTTCCTTTACATGTAACTAAAGTCTCTTTGATTCTAGCACTGGATTACCATAAGAGATTAGAAAAGCAGTATCCTGTCAATAGTTGTAAGTGATAGGTTATTGCTTTTTGGTAAATTAGTCGTATATATCAGGTAAAGGATCAGCCGGAGCACACTACCCTGTAGGTTTGCACAGGATTCGTTTTACTAGGTTAGATATCTCCTTTCTTTAAAATATCTGGTTGCAGACTAATCGGGTGGTCAGAATTGACATTTTTAAATCCTTTTTAGGTTTCTGTATAAGTATAATCTATGTCACTTTTCATTATAACCGAAAGTATTGCAGTCTTAACATAATGTTAAAAATCATAGTCACTATTTTCTAGCAACTTTAAGTTAGTTCTAGAAAAATCTTGCCAGTCATGATGTCGTAACTTGGCGCACTACTAGGGTCGACCTTATTCTTGATTAACTGTTTTACTTATTTTATATTAAGATTGGAAATTGGTAGTTCCATTTGATATAGCACTCGAGGAAGAAGATCTTGGTCTGATAATAAATGGTGAGACGATCAACAATATAAGGTATGCTGACGATACAGTTCTCCTAACGGGAACGCTAGTAGAACTACAACATCTCGTTCTAAGTCTCAATATATACTGTAACAGTTACGGCTTGAAAATTAATTTGAAAAAAACTAAATTTATGGTAATCACGAAATCAAAGAACATCAGAGCTAATCTTGTAATAGACAATACAACGATTGAGCGTGTGCCCTGTTATAAATATCTAGGTGCTTGGATCACAGACGATACTGATCAAACAAAAGAGATTAGATGTAGAATAGAAATCGCTAGATCAGTCTTTAATTAGAATGCGCAAACTCTTTTGCAATCGTGATATCAACGTAATCGCGAACCTGTTATATGGAGTTGAGGCTTGGACACTAAAACAGTTGACCATAAAAAACATCGAAGCTTTCGAGATGTGGTGCTATAGGCGCATTCTCAGAATATCATGGATGGACCGCGTCACTAACACGCAAGTACTCCAAACTTTAGACAAAAGATGCGAAATTCTAAATGAGATAAAAACTAGAAAGATGGAATACTTAGGGCACATTGTGAGAGGTGAAAAGTACGAATTTTTAAGAAACATCATGCAGGGCAAAATTAAGGGCAAAAGAAGTGTGGGAAGAAGAAAAATATCGTGGCTTCGTAATCTACGTGAATGGTTCGGGCGTAGTTCGATTGAACTTTTCAGGCGCGCTGCTAACAAAGTCGCAGTGGCCATGATGATTTCCAATCTCCGCTAGAAGTGGCACGAGAAGAAAAAGAAGATTTGATATAAAGCTTCAAGCAAATATTGAATTGATTCTTCTTACTCTATGAATCTAGGACAATTGCCCGAAAACAGTTTCCCGAAAGAGAAATCCCCGAATAGACAATTCTCCTAATGTGCATTTCCCCGAAACACGAATGGACCAAATGGACAATTACTCAAATAGACAATTGGCAGGAAAACAATTGCCCGAAAAGGGTAGAGGAGAATTGACCTAAAAATATATTTAAATAGTTATTCTTTACTTGTATTTCCTATATACTAATACGGCAACTTACGTGCTGTTTAAATAGTTATTACCGCTTATACTCGGTTCACAATTTGTGGATAGCTCACTACAAGTTTAATCCTAATTAGAGAACTGAAATATAGAGAGGATAGGTAATACGATATAATAGTAAAAAACCAACCTGAAACTGACCGTTTTAAGATGTTTTCGACTAACCCACCTTGTATCTGCAGTAATACAATACAGCGGCCAACCTTATAATCCGATTATAAATGTATTTTGGCCGACCAGTGTCGTAGAGTATATGATTGAAACATTGATTTGAACTAAATAAATATATTTTTTAAATTGTATTTTCGTTTTAATAAAACTTCTTTATTTTATTCAAAAAAATAAAAAGTTTCTTGCCATCTGTAAAAGATACATTTATTTAATTAAGGGGAAAGGCGCCAAATGTCGACTGGCAAAATTTTGAATGTGTTTTAAATGTATCCATTATTTTCGAATCTGGAGAAAACTAATAAATATTTTTGAAAAATTTAAACGCAGAATGAAAGGTTACATTATTACTGAGGCAGAAAGTCCCTGAAAACTTCTACAATGTATATTTTAATATGTTATGTAACAGGGGTGAAAATAAAAGAGAAAATATAGTATAATTTTTAATTAAAAATATTGAATGCAAAAGAAACTTTTTATTTATTCTGCCTTTAAATTTTTCAAAAATGCTTTTTAGTTTTCTCAGGATTTGAAAAAAAATGGATACATTTAAAAGAGATTGAACATTTTGACAGGCGACATTTTGCGCCTTTCCCTTTTAATACCTTACGATTACAACTACTATTACTTACCTTATACAATTACTATTAGAAAACTATTTAAATTCAAGCGTGGTAGGGTGGAAGATGCAAGAATGTCACAAAGAGTGTAGTAACTCTGAATTTATAAAATGGAGTAGTTTGTGATTAATAAATATTTTACAAACAATAACAAAAATGATTGAAAGTGATGATTCAACAATAATGTAGCATATCAAAAATAATGAACTGAACCAATAATAGTGTCGTTAATAAAAATAATAATTTAAAAAGTTTTGGTGTAAATCAGTAATAGTGTAATAAATAGAAAAGCAACAATGTTATGGTTAGATTCAAATCAACAAGAATGTAATAACTCAAAATATAGCTATGGATATTACATACCTGATTCAGCAATAACGTGGAAACTCGAAATGATGAGCAAAGCAACACGTGTGTTTATCGATCACTATTGGTCGCAACTAAAGATAACGCTATATTTTAAGGGGGTGACGACAGTCGGTCAGTCATGAATAACGTCTTATGACGCCATCTCTTATTTATTTATTGCACTATTAAAACGACAGTTTGTTTGACTTATAGGGAATTGTATTTTACGTGTAAATATAGTGTTATGTCAATTTCGAAACATTTTGAGTTGCGACACTATTGTATTATTAGTGCGATATGTATATAATACTGTTAATGTTATATTTCCCATATATTTCCAAATGTTTTCAATAACTTTTAAACAACAACGGAAAACATAGTAGATATACTTCTTTTATAATTTTTATAATATACTCGATATTTATCTCTTGGTATTACTTAAATAAATTTATTTCGTTTTGTTAGGTTTTATTGCAAGATGGATACTTCGTACACTTTTTTGTACCAAAGGACGCAGAAGTCATCCCCAAGCACGTATACTTCATCTTAGATACAAGTTCCAGTATGTACGGTAATAAACTCCAACAACTTAAAGATGCCATGACCAGTATTTTGGATGAGATCAAACCTGAAGACTCACTCAGTATTGTCGAATTCAACAGTGAGATATACGTGTGGGATATAGAAAATGAGAAATCAATTCTTGCTCAGTGGGACAACTACAGGGAACCGTTTGAACAATTAGGTGTAAGTAATATTTCTAGTAAGCATGTAACCATAAAAACAGAAATTAAATTGTATTTATTAAAAAAGTGAAATTGGTCTAAAACCGTCTTCAAAATATTTTTCTTGATTTAGAAAATGCTTTCGTAATTTAATCTTTACTACCTTATATACAGGGTGTTTGGTAACTAATGGGTCACAGCTTAACCTTAGATTTCTGAGGTTAAAATAGGTCGATTTAAGCTAACTTACCATAGTACGAATGTTGATAATAGCATAAATACAGGGTGTCAAAGTTAAACTTTTATTTTATTTATTTTTACAAACTTTCTAACAGGCATGGGATAACAACACGAAATTTTATAGGGGGGATTTTTTGGGATAACAAATCTGAATTACCCGTCAAAAATTACATATTACATACACGGCACCACATACGTCTTTCAGTACTCATTTAATACGTTCAATCTTTTTAACCTCATTCTACATACTTTTTGAATCAAATCTTTTATTACTCCATTATTTTAACTTAAAAGAAAAATCATACATGCGTGAACTCTTCAGCGAAATATCTGTGCCACACACGGTGTATGGTCTATATAGCAAACACTATAATAATGATAATATTTTTGACTTAACATTTATAAATAATCAATATACAAAAATAAAGTAAACAATTTGAATCTGACAGTATTGAGAGTTTTAAATTAACCATATAACATAAAATTGTTATTATTTTCAATTAATTTAAAACCTGTTCTCCTATTTAGAAACTAAACTTACCAGGACCAGTATCAGCAACAAAGGAAGCAGTTGAGAAAGCTAAGAAACTTGTCGACAATATGCAAGCTGGAGGTGGTACTCACATGATTGGTGGATTGGACGCTGGTTTATATCTTGTAAAATCAGAAATTGAAAGAACTAAAGAAAGCAATGACCAGAGACACCCCCTTGTAATATTCCTAACCGATGGACAGCCCAACATAGGTTTACATTCTACAGTTGAAATTATTGATGTGGTATGTATTATATTAGCTTGGATTTGGTTGATATTAACTTTTTTTTCGTAGAATATCTAAAATTCCAACCGTATTATTCTTAGTTTTTAGTGTGCTTTTTAATTGCCGCTTTTTGAGATTTCCTTGTCATCTAAAATATTTCTTACATCTTACTATCTTCTAAAATATTTTTCTATGTTTATCAAATCTGCTAATTTTATTTTTTTCTAATTTTACCCAATATTGTGCTAGATCATACAAGGCTATTCTATAGTCTGTCTCACCTGGGCTTTCCAGCAGACGAACCGAATTACATTGCCATACCTTTTTTTACATGTTTCTTCTTTAATCTATTCATATTATATATTAATTTAAATGAAATTATTTGAACCATATTTATAATTATCATTCTTAGGTTACTAAGTTAAATGAAGACAACATCAAAGCTCCACTGTACACTCTGGCTTTTGGAGATTCTGCCGATGAAGGGTTCTTAAGAAAACTCTCTTTGAAAAACAAAGCATTCTCAAGACAAATTTACGAAGCAGCAGACGCAGCCATCCAATTGCAACAATTCTACAGACAAATATCTTCCCCACTTTTATCAGATGTTCATTTTAAATACAACGACGACGCTAGTGAAGTAACAAACACAGGTTTTCCCATTTTGTACGCTGGTGGGGAAATTGTAGTTACTGGACGATTCGTAGGTAAGATTTTTTTTTATGATCTTTTACTGTGTCGTTGAAGCAAAATGCCCTCGGGCGACTGGATGCGCAGCGGCACTTTGATGCCGCAATCGAAAAAAAACGTAAAAACAAGTTTACGTTAATATAAAACTCTAAAAAATCGTACATTTGAGATAGTTAAATCACATATTATATTTCAAAAGAATACAGAAATAAAATATTTACATGACAAATCTTAAATACAGTACCAATTTTTTCTAATCGTCTCTTCCACCACTTCAATAAGCATACAATTTTGGCAGATTGTTCTCTTAGTGCTATGCCCCTTGCATACAAAATACTTACAAATATTGCCATGTTTGTTGTATTTCCATAGAATCGGGACTTTGGAAATCTTTAACTAGTGATTGTTCTGAGTTGTTGTGGTCTTTAGGATTAACGTCTTCCTCTTCATCGTTCAAGTCTACTATATTCTCGATATCTGACAACTATGTAACAAACTAATACTACAATTTCTAACAATTATTCCTTTACTACAACTAACTCTGAGATCTTAAACTGCCTTTTATTACAAACAAAATATATATACTAACTAAAAAGTAATAAAACGAAATAAAATTCAAAGCAAATTTTACCTTCATCTTGAGGCACTCTGGCCACTCAATACCGTCAATCCAAGACCAATTACTTCAGCCTTTCACTGACTTCTTCTTCTTGTAGTGCCTATTCGTTTCGAATATTGGCGACCATCTTGGCTGCTCTGGCAAAATTTGTAGTTGTTGTGCTGAACCGTGTTTGTAGATTCTTCGACCAGGATATGATTTGTCTATCTGACCCTCTTTTTTTGTAGATTCTTTAACCAGGACATGATTTGTCTATCTGAGCCTCTTTTTTTCTTCTGAAGTAGAGGTTGGCGTGGGGGTTAGCGTGGGGATTGTAGCGAGAATTGGCTCGGGCGTTAACGCGAACATTTTTAACAGTAGAATTTTAATTGGTGGCTGGTACAGATGATATTTTCTTTTTGAGAGGTCCATGTCAAAGGTCCATATGCCGTTACCTCGTTTATTGAGACAGTTTGAGCATTTTCCAATTTCTGTGACTTCTCGGATAATTCTTGGTTTATAGAAGCGGATAGAAGCTATGGTTTTCGCGCCGTTAAAATTACTTTTGTGACCTGTATGAAGATGGACCATCTTTATACAGGTCACACAATTGTTTTTGAAAGCTTCAGAACCAGCTGGAAGTTTGTGGAATTAACTTAAAGTTTCCATTTTTTGCGCATGGAGAATTATTTGTATCTCTTTTTCATTCATAATAGCTTCGGTTGGAACTTGGAGTTAAAGGTCAAAGAGTGCTAAAGTCGCTACCTATCTACTTTAGAATAACTTTAGGAAAACCAATATTTTGACGCGCTTGCAATTTGTAGATTTTCAAAGGGAACTGAAAATGTAGAGTGCTTTAGCACACAGATTTGTATTAGTATTTGAATCTGCTTGTATAAAATTAGTTGTCTATATATAGGTCATATATTATAATTTTTTAGGTAACAAATTTGATCCTGCAATTAGAGCTGTTGGTAAACGAGGACCTTTAATATATAGACCACAGGTTCACAAGCCAGTAAATTCGTTGGAGCGTCTGTGGGCATACTTGACTGTAAGGGAAACCCTTGAGAAAATGAAAATTGCCAAAGATAAAACGGAACTTACTAAGAAAGCTTTAAGGCTAGCACTTAAATATTCTTTTGTTACTGAGGTGACATCATTGGTTGTAGTGAAACCTAACTCTACACGTCCCATATATCCAGATGACGGATATCGTAAGTACCCATATTTTATTTTTGTTATACTGTTGTTAACTCCTTCTATTTGATATAATGTGAAATATACTAATTACAATCATCATGTTTGTCGTGATCTTGTATCCTTAACAGATATGTCCGGTCTAAGCTAAGATATGTCACAAAGGATTGAACAATTATTATTAGTCATTTTAACATTAAAGTTATTCTTACCTTCGTAACATAATGTTTTTTTATTTTCACATTAATTGATGGCCATAATTCCCCTAATATATTCATTCTTAATTTTTTTTGTTTCTTTTTTTGTTTTTTTTTTGTTTCTTTTGTTTTTCTTCTTAATGTTTTCTTTACTTATACATCTAAGCAATTTCATGCAAAAGCCAAAGCAAAATTTATAAAATAGTAAGGCATGGGCCAGAATAAGTAGAGCCAAACAACTTTTTATATTAGCTCGAGGGTTTTGCTATGTTACTGGCCAACGTCAGGAGGACTTAATAAGAAATATCTGCTTCTTCTAGTGCTGTCTCCACAAGTAAAGGTTGGCTATAACTATTACAAATTCGTCTCTATCTTCTGCTTTTCTTAAGAGTATCTGTGTGTTTAACACGGTCCAGTCGCAATTTTTTTTCAGCCAGGATATTTGTCGTCTACCAGAACCCCTTTTTCCTTTAATTTTACCCTTCATAATCAGCTGCAATAACTCATACTTATCATTTCTAAGAAGGTACCCAAATATGCTGTCTTTCGCCTTTTAATGGTGGTCAAAAGTTAACGGTTAAAAGATCAGCATAACGAATGTTATTTATATTTTCACCATTTATTTTTTGCTGTCGATAATTACTATCGATAATTGCTATCGATATTTAACTTCATGTTTCCTCGCTAGAGGTCTCTAGTAGCATACTCTGGTAATTATTTTTACTATAATTGCCTTAGTAGTCGGTGCGTTTTTTGATTTGGTTTAAGTCTTCTTACAAACTCCTTCTGATGACGGGTAGACCCAGAAACACGTGTCAGGGAGTGGTAAGAGACTCAAATTAAATCGAAACGCAACCGTCATTTATTTTATTTATTTTTTGTTGGTCTCGACATTTTTCCCTTTCGCACTTTCTGAATATTCTTGCAAGTATAATCTTTAAATGTATTTTTAGTAATTGTGACATTAAGCTGAATAGTCTATAGTCATTACAGTGTTTGGGATCTTGGTTTTTGGTAGCGGAACAAAGGTCGATAGCAGCTATTTTGCAGCAGCGTAGCAATGGCTTACGACAACGTTCAATAAAATCTATGACTCGGGAAATATTCCAGAGAGCTGGTTAAAATCTACAATTATTGCTATACCCAAATAACTCAATGCAAAAAGATGCGAAGAGCCTCGTATTATCAGTATAATGAGCCACATTCGTAAGACCTTCTTATAGATAGTACACAGAAGAATTTGTCAGAAATGCGAGTCACAGATCTCACGAACGCAGTTTCAATCACGATAAGATCATGGATATACTAAAGGCAACTGATCTGGATAACAAAGACCTTTAAGTAATCAAGAACACATACTACAACCAATCAGCAACCATTCGGGTAAAAGACTAACTAACAGAGGAAGTTGCAATAAAGAGAGGAGTACGACAGGTACTCCCCTACTCTCTCCCCTATTATTTAACGTCTATTCGGAACACGATCCGATCATACTCTCCTCGTAGCTATTTAATGCTTAAACTTAAAGCACCCAACAAACAAAGAGAGATAAAGAGGATAGAACTTAGAAAGAAAGAAGACCTTCTACAGGAAGTACAGAAAAGTATGCCCTCTATTCGTAACGGAACATCACAAGAAATATGGGAGACTGTTAAAACATTGCGTAACAACACCAGTGGATCGCTCAAAGAAAAATAATCCGGTGAAACGGAAACACTGGATAACAGATGAAACTCTTAAAATAATTGAGAATAGAAGAAATCTTTGTAAAAGTGGTGTACATAGTGAAAGAGAAAAAGCTAGTTTAAGAAACCTCAATAAAGAAATAAAACGAAGATGTAAGGCCGACAAAAAAACAGTACTATCAAAGTATATACAAAGAAATTGAGAGACATGGTCAGAATAATCAGCCGAGAGATCTATTTAGAAAAATACGATACCTGACACGAGACTTCAGAGCCAGAACTTGGGCCATTGAAGATAACACTGGAACCCTGAGAACAAACAGAGAAGACATAGCAGAGACATGGAGATCGTATTGCAGGGACCTATATAAAGATGATCAACACCAAGAGCTTGTTAGCCAAATCTCTGACGAGGTGGAAGAAGAACCTGATATATTCGAAAATGAAGTAAGACAGGCTATCAACAAGCTCAAATATAACAAAGCACCAGGTCCAGATATGATAACAGCAGAAATGCTTAAAGCCACAGAAGAAACCGGCGTAAAGTTACTTCATCTACTCTGTAACCAAATATGGCATTCCAAACAATGGCCTGAAGACTGGACAAAATATACAATAACGACCATACATAAAAAAGGCAGCTTCCATAAATGCGACAATTATAGAACTATCTCTCTTCTATCCCATGCCAGCAAGATAATGCTAAATATAATCAAAGAGAGACTGAAAACATTCCTTCAAAGAGAAATTCCACAAGAGCAAACTGGATTTACCAAAGGTAGAGGCACTCGAGAACACCTGCTGAATATAAGACAGATAATCAAAAAATCTAGGGAATTCAACATCCCACTATATATCTGTTTTATAGATTACCGTAAAGCGTTCGACAGGGTCAAGTGGAGACACTTATGGCGAATACTAAAAGAAGTAGGCGTACCACAACATCTAATTACGCTTATAACCGAACTATATGAACACACTACTGGATCAGTTAAAGTACTTGACACACTTTCGAACGAATTTCATCTAGAACGGGGCGTCAGACAAGGATGTATAATATCTCCACAATTATTCAACATATATGGGGAGTATATTATGCGAAGAGCACTTGAAGGATGGGAAAAGGGCATCTCAATAAATAGTCATAAACTAAACAACCTACGTTTCGCAGATGACACAGCCCTTCTTGCAAATAGTCAAGAAGAAGAAGAAGTCAAGAAGAGCTGAACTTATACGACTGATCGAAAACGAAATTCAAATATTTGGTCTGCAATTAAACATATCAAAGACAAAGATCATGATAGTGGATAGACTACACAACAATCATCCACACATAACCACAATTGACCGGTTCGAGGTTGTGAGCTCATACTTATATCTGGGATCATTAATCACAAACACAGGGTCATTACAAGAAGAGATTAAACGTAGTTGTGATCTAGCAAAAGTTGCCACAGCAAAAATGACCAAAATATGGAAGGACTGTCAAATTTCAAGAGCGATAAAGATGAGGTTGATCAACTGCTTAATATTCCCAATACTGACCTACGGATGTGAATCTTGGATTCTGAGACAATCGGAGAGAAAAAAGATAGACGCCACTGAAATGTTCTGTTTAAGACGAATGTTACGAATTCCTTGGACCGACCGCAGAACAAATAATTCAATTTTAAGAGAGCTAAAAGTTAGCCAACGACTCTCTAGTAAAGTCCATCTCCAACAATTAAAATATTTTGGGCATATTATGAGAGCAAACACAGAAAACTTGGAAAGACTCATAATACAAGGAAAGGTAGAAGGCCGAAGATCACGAGGAAGATCCCCAACAAGATGGATAGATCAAATTACAGGAATATGCCAAAGACCTATGCATGAATTAAAAGAAATGACCAGAGACAGAGATCTCTGGAGACGGACAATACACGACATCACGTCGACCACTACACTCCCCCTGGGGGGTCAGGATTGAAGAGAGAGAGATTCGGAACACGACATGAGCCAGGCCTTAGAGCATATTGAAGAGGGTATTCTCGTAAATGGTGAGCGCCTAAATAACATCAGATATGCAGACGACACCATCCTCTTTGCAGACAGTTTAGTAGGTTTACAAACACTAGTAACGCAGTTGTGGAGAATCAGTCAGGAGTACGGGCTTGATTTTAACATCAAGAAAACAAAGTACATGGTCATCAGTAAGAAACATATTCCACCTTGCCAATTACTAGTAGATCAGCAACAAATACTCCAAGTGCCCCGTTACTTCCATTTAGGAACCACCATAAACGACCAATGGGACCACTCAGTTGAAATAAAACAAAGAATTTAAAAAGCCAGGTCAGCGTTTGTCGGAATGAGCAAGATATTTAAGAGCCACGACCTACCCTTAAAAATAAAAATCTGTTTATTGAGATGCTACGTGTTTACAGTGCTGCTCTATGGTGTTGAATCATGGACACTAACCGAGGCATCCATGGGAAAACTCGAGGCGTTTGAGATGTGGTGTTATAGACGAATACTGAGGATCTCCTGGGTAGACCGAATAACAAACATTGAGGTTCTACGTCGGAAGGATAAAACATGTGAAATTATATTTACAGTGAAATAGCGCAAGCTAGAATATTTTGGACATATAATGCGAAACGACCATAGCTATAATCTGCTGCAACTTATATTACAGGAAAAGGTCTATGAACAGAGGGGACGAGGAAGAAGAAGAATATCTTGGCTCCAGAACTTACGAAAGTGGTTTTCCGTGACCACTTCAGGACTATTTCGAGCTGCGGTCAATAAAATTAGAATTGTCATGCTAGTAGCCAACATCCATAATGGATAGGCATCATAAGAAGGAGAAGATAATTATTAGTAATTATTTTTTATATGTTACTAATCAATTCTTCTTCTTCTTCGGATGCAAATCCACTAATGGATGTTAGCGATCACATTTTCCATTAATTCTCTATTTCTTGCAATATGTATCAGAGATTGTATGTCGTTAATCCCTGTTCATTGCCTTATGTTTCGGAGCCAGGACATTTTCTTGCGTCCCATTCTCTCTTGCTTTCAATTTTACCCTCGATTATAAGTTGGAGGAACTGGTATTTTTCATTTCGCATGATGTGATCTAGATACGCCGTTTTCGCATGATGTGATCTAGATACGCACATTTCGAAAGCTTCTAATCTGTTTATATCCCTCGTTTTGAGTGTCCAGCCCTCTACGCCATATAGCAGCACTGACCATATGTAGCACTTAGTAAACCTTAGTCTCAATTGAAGATCGAACTCTGAGCAAGTCAGTACCTTCTTGAATTTTACGAAAGCTTGTCGAGCTTGCTCAATGCGACATTTTACTTCCCTGTCCGATGCCCAGTCTTCAAAAAGCCACGATCCCAGGTATTTAAATTTACTCACTCTTTCAATGGATTTACTAATCAATACTGGATATTAAATTGTGTATATTAGTTCTACCCATCGATATTAATACTTTTTTTTATTTTAGTTCGAAATGAAAGACCATATTATTCGAGCCCAGATTCCGGATCATTCGGAAGAGTTGGACATCCTGCTGGTGGTTAGTAATATTTAATTAAGTTTATTTTATTAAATCATTCTAGAAGCAAATTGTTTATGAGTATAAATGAAAGTCTATAAAAAACAGAGGAGAACGTTTATTCTCTTCTGTTGTTTATTTAGAAATAACAGAGGAGAATAGGAATACTCCTACAGTTTGCCAGTGATAATAAATACACTTTATAAACACCACCCAAGAAGGTTATCAACGTGGACTAGTCTAAATCAAGGACTAAACAGTCGTGCGGAAAAAATTGAAAACCTCAGTAATGAACGTAAAAGTTATGCCTGGAGCATTATGTGGATCAGACCATAAGCTACATAACTAGAAAAATACATCAGACACAACAGACTAAGGGTAAATAATATGGAAGAATTCCAGATGAACCTGAAGCAAGGAAGAACCAAAAATATTAAAAGACACCAATAAAACATGGACTGTAATAAAAAACTGGATACATTCGGCAGTAAAAAGTGGACACTGCATTGAATTAAAAAAAACAAAATTTGGATGTTAAGGGAAATCTTATGATTAGTGGAAACCAGAGGAGTTATGACACAACAGACCACAACGTGTGTCACATGAACTGAAGTCTTGAACAACTGAAGTCACATAAAAACCACCTTGAAAACCATCATGAAAGTCATGATATATATATATATATATATATATTATATATATATATATATATAATATATATGAATCACATGACAAAAAAAACGTTGATGAAACAAAGTTATGAGCTCAGTAAACTAATAATAAGACAAACAATACTAACAATAGACAATCGCAAAGGTCTTGAAGATGTCACAGAACATTGCAATGAGTTAGAATATTGTTTGTTCGATACACATATTCTTTAAATTATGGCTTTGTTTTATATAACTGTTATTTCATTTTAGGTCAACTTTTAAAAAGTAAAGTAGCATATCAAGCTCAAGACTCCATTTCAGGTAAGTTGAAAATATATTTATATAATATATATATATATATATATATATATATATATATATATATATAAAAAAATAGGTAAAGAAATAATAATAAGACTTACTCACAATCAATTTAATTTAACAATCTGACGACCGGTTTCGCTTTCTATAATTTGCAAAGCATCTTCAGGTCGAGATACAAAGTTAAACTAATGCTGCAATAAAATAAACCCAATTAGGGTGGTGTCTCATAAAGATAAAATAAGCAAATAAATAAATAAATTAGTTCATACAAATTATAGTAATTATGCCAATATTACATGTCTGTGGTTTTCAAAATGAATAATTTGAATATATAAAATGTAGTAACAGACAAGGTAAGGCCCACAATTGGTATAAAGTAGCAATCTTTTGTTGTAATAAATTAATAAATGAGCAAATAAATCAAACAAACAAAACAAACATTACTTACATGCCGGTACTCTATTAATTGATGGATGGTAGGTCATGGTTGCAAAAATCATGTATTGTTGATTGGAGAACTTTAATGAGCTATTGCAGTTGTTTTGACAATAAACGGGAAGTTCTTGAGGAGAACAGATTTGATCCAATGAATTAGAGATAGGTATATTGTTGTTGTTTGTCAGATGAAAGTGATGTTCTTTACTATTGTATTAATTAAATTATTTACACTTATAACAGAGATATATTTTGGAATATGTGTTATTTATTGAGTATTTATGTAATGAAGGAGACAGTTCTATGACAATGAATAAGAGTAGCTGTACCGATTGTGTGGTTGTGCAATTTTTGACTTGCAATTATCAAGTCTATTGGCAAAATTATTAAAGTATTGTAAAGACATTCCAAAATATATCTCTGTTATAAGTGTAAATAATTTAATTAATACAATAGTAAAGAACATCACTTTCATCTGACAAACAACAACAATATACCTATCTCTAATTCATTGGATCAAATCTGTTCTCCTCAAGAACTTCCCGTTTATTGTCAAAACAACTGCAATAGCTCATTAAAGTTCTCCAATCAACAATACATGATTTTTGCAACCATGACCTACCATCCATCAATTAATAGAGTACCGGCAATGTAAGTAATGTTTGTTTTGTTTTGTTTGATTTATTTGCTCATTTATTAATTTATTACAACAAAAGATTGCTACTTTATACCAATTGTGGGCCTTACCTTGTCTGTTACTACCTTTTATATATTCAAATTATTCATTTTGAAAACCACAGACATGTAATATTGGCATAATTACTATAATTTGTATGAACTAATTTATTGTGGAGTTTATATAGTTCTAATTTATTTGTCTTTATTCTAATTTATTGTCTATAATCTAATTTATTAAAACTCACGATAACTAATTACGAATTTATTAAAGTCTTTATTAATTCTAATTTATATTACAAATAATAATTTATGTTTCGTTACATTTAAATATCGCGGTTGCCGAGCTTCTTATGACTGACTGCCAAATAAAAATCTTTCATTTATATACACAACTGTGTCATCTAGAGAATTCGGCGGACTTCTTGAATAGTCTCGTATTTTGGTGAAGGCGCTCGACTCGTTTTTCAACCTCGAGACGTGGATGACTCACCAAAATTAGTGTCTAGAGATTTCTGGTAAACAACTGGTAGCTAAGCTCAGGTATATTTTGACCTACAAATTACGAGAATCAATAAAAAGAATTAGTCATAAAATATTTACAGTTCTATATGCCATAACATTTAAAATCGTAACATTGCCCCCCTCTTAAAAGATGGTTCCTCCTGGAACCTTGTCGGGACTGGAACTGGAACGACATGCTGATATCGGCAACTGGACCCTCTTTTACAACTTCCAGTTGTATAGAAATGACAAGGGACGGTTTTCTCTCCGCAGCAGTAACTATGCGGATTGCAACAGACTAACACCTGGACTTCGGTGTCTTTAAAGACTTCCTCCACCATGTTTCGTATAACCCTCCAATCTAATTGGCGGCACTCCAACTTTGGCATGGCTAACTTTTGCACGTCGGACTCTAGTACGTGCTCTCTCAACTGAAGTAAGGCTTCCCATACATCTCGGTAGGTAGGTTGGTCACGGGCAGTGTCTTTTGTTACCAGGTAGAAAAGGTAACGTGATGCATCTTGAAGTTTCAAGGTTTTACCAGGAGCTGGCACTTGGCATTGAAGTTCTGCAACTCGACCAAACTTCCTTCGAAAGACGGATGCCAACCCTGGTGCATCTTTGATACTGGCCGGGATGGTAAGGGCCAGTGAGTAGTCATCGGGAAGCGCGAGTAGATCTTGCCTTTCTTCAGTGGTAACACCATGTCTTGCTTTACCGGTACCTCCATAGGCACCCATGAATTCCTCAAACGTGAGGTCAGACACATCTTGGACTTGGTTTACTTCCACTTCTTCATCTACGTCGTGGTCACCCTCGAAAGACGCCAGCCGGTTATGGTGTACTATCATCGGCTTTCCTCTCGGAATCTTGCTTATTCGGTAAATAACATCATTGATCTTCTCCATAATGAGGTATGGACCTTCCCAAAACTGCTGCAATTTGGGAGAACAACCTTTTCGCTTTTTGGGGTTATAAAGCCAGACTTTATCGTTCTTCTTAAAACACCCCTTTTCGGCTTGCGTATCGTACCGTTTCTTCATTCGGTCACTAGCGATCTGGAGATGGGAACGGACCAACTCGTGTACATCGTCCATTCTTCTTCGTAATTCGATCACATAATCTTCACCTGCTACATCTTCTCCAGGTCGACACCCAAACTCTAGATCACAAGGTAGTCGCATCTCGCGTCCGAATAGGACTTTGGCTGGTGTCTGGCCTGTTGATTCATTAACAGCAGATCTGTAGGCCATTGTGAAGAACGGGAGATATTGGTCCCAGTCTCGCTGATGATCGGACACCATCTTTGTCAAATACTTGCCAACTGTTCTATTCATTCGTTCTACCATACCATCCGATTGCGGATGATAAGCCGTAGTCCTTGTTTTCTTCATACCTAGTCTATCACATATTCCTTGGAATAAATCGCTTTCGAAGTTCCTGCCTTGGTCACTATGGATCTCCAAAGGCACTCCAAATCGGCTGATATATTCTTGGATCAACTTATCTGCAACGGTGGCCGCCTTCTGGTCTGGAAGTGCGTAAATCTCGACCCACTTAGTGAAGTAATCCATTACTACCAACATGTACTTGCCTCCATTATCACTTTCTGGAAACGGCCCAGCAATGTCCAAAGCTATTCTTTCAAACGGGCTTCCAACGTTATATTGTCTCATAGGAGCTCTCCTTTTTCGATAAGGCCCGTTACTCGTAGCACAAATAGTACATTTCTTACACCAGTCTTTTACATCGTCGGAACTGTTCATCCAATAAAACCGTTCCCGAATTCGCTGAAGGGTCTTCTTCACACCAAAATGCCCTCCTGATGGACTGTCGTGTAACTGACGAAGTACTTCGGCTATTCTGCTCTTTGGAATCACCAACTGTCTTCTCTTCTCTGAACCGTCATCATTTTCCAGGACTCGTTTGAGCAAGCCATCTTCCATGATAAATGAGTCCCACTGGGCCCAATACGTCTTAACTACTGAGCCTAGGTTCGATATTTCTTGCCAAGGTGGTCGACGGTTTTCCTCTTTCCATTTTCGGATTTTCTGTATAACTGGATCTCTCTCTTGTTCTTCCCTGATCTTGGTAGGCGTCCAGTCGTCGTGGACCACCGTCGTTCTTAGCACTGCTGCTTCCTTGGATTCCGTTTTGTTGCAGTGAGAACACTCTGCTGGGCATGGCCTTCTGGAAAGAGAATCAGCGTTTCGGTGGCTAACTCCGGCCCGGTGCTCAATCTTAAAATCATATTCTTGGAGTCGTTCGATCCACCTGGCTATCTGACCCTCTGGATTCTTAAACTGCATCAACCACTTAAGGGCGGCATGGTCGGTTCGGATTAAAAACTTCCTTCCATAGAGGTATTGATAGAAGTGCTCTACTGATTTCACTACTGCCAGAAGTTCTCTTCTCGTGACGCAATAATTCCGCTCAGGTTTTGAGAGAACTTTACTGAAATATCCAAGGACTCTTTCCTGTCCTCCCTGAATCTGGGACAGCACTCCTCCAATTCCCACATTACTTGCATCTGTATCTAAGATGAACTCTCCTTCTGGCAGTGGATACCCTAAAATCGGTGCTGTGATTAAATGCTTTTTTAAGGTCTCAAAGGCATTTTGGCAGTCTACATCCCAGCGGTATTCTCTTGCTTCCTCTGTAAGTCGCGTTAATGGTTTAGCGATATCTGCAAACTTCTTAATAAACCTCCGGTAATAAGTACATAGTCCAAGAAAACTTCTCACTTGATGTTTGTCAGTTGGTTTTGGCCATTCCTTAATGGAATCGATTTTTCCCTTATCCACGGCCACTCCTTCTTTACTGACTATATGACCCAGATAATTGACTTTACCTTGAAATAGCTGGCACTTCTTGGGGTTTAACATCAATTGGGCAGCTTTAAGTCGATTAAAAACGTTTTCTAAATTCTTCAGATGGTCCTCAAATGTCTCCCCCAAGACGATTATGTCGTCTAGATAAACTAGGCACGTTTTCCAAGATAACCCTCTCAACACATTTTCCATAAGTCTCTCAAATGTCGCAGGAGCGTTACAAAGTCCAAATGGCATAACGTTGAATTGCCATAATCCAGATCCTGTGGTGAAGGCTGTCTTTTCTTTATCTACCGGGTCCATTTCTACCTGCCAGTATCCAGACTTCAAATCCAAAGTAGAGAATAATTTACTTCCAGCCAATGTGTCTAATGTGTCATCAATCCGAGGCAGAGGATAACTATCTTTCTTGGTAACGTTGTTCAGCAAACGGTAATCCACACAGAACCTCGTTGTTCCGTCTTTCTTCTTAACCAGGACTACCGGAGAGACCCATGGGCTCGTAGAAGGTTCTATCACCCCGTCTTTCTTCATTTCCTGAACAATCGTTTC